TCTTTGTGTCCATCCTTACGTCGACAACAGTCAGTAAGTGTTTGATCATAAGGTCATAGGCTTAGTCGGCGCTCTGCGTCCTAAGTTTGTGATAGCTCAGCACCATACCATAATCACATCATACTACTGTGTATTTATTGCTTGACATTACTTTGAAAAAACTAAATGCATTATTTTAATTCTGATCATATATCTTCTCTGCATAATTCAGTAAATATTAATCAAAATAATCAAATTATCATTAATAAAAACATGAGCAAACTGTGGTTCTTCTCCAGGCCTCTATGCATGGATCTTGAACTGCAACCACCACCATCTACGCAAGTGCCTCGTGCACTTGCCCAGCATTCACTCTCCTCTGAAGAACGCATCGTAGCTTTGCTGCATCACCTCAAGCTCTACCACTGCCTGTGAGACACTCTCAACAATGTTCGACCTGCTGGGTCAGAATCAGGAAAGTTGGTGGCACAGCTGAAACTTGCGCACAAGGTAATCGACAAGGTCACTGGCTGGTTTGCTGGCCTTAATCTCACTGACCCTGCTCTAGCATCCCTGCCTGCAGCTGCAGGTCCATTATCTCGGCTCACCTCTCATCTCACACCTTTGTTGCAAACTCCCCCACCTCAGCAAGCAGGCAGCGACTTCACCGCCACCATCTCAGCCCTTTGCAACAACCTGAGAAACTGGCTCACTGCCCTTGAGGTGCATGTGAGCCAGGTGTCTGCTGCACTGGCTTCCTCCAGTTGCCTCCCTGGTCACGACACCTCTGACTAAGATGGCCAAAGGGCAGTCTTATGCAGTGGCAGCTGTGCTCTCACATCCGATTTCTCTCATGTGTGCTCTGAACCCTCCATCTGCCCACAAGGCCCAAGCACCAAAGGGTGCTGGGACACCAGTCCGGTATGCGATTCGATACTCCAGTCGCATCCCGAAATGCATCACCTCTGCCACCCCCGCTGCTATCCTTGATGACGTCAACTGTGTCCTGGTCATGGTTCTAACTGCTGAAGGGCTCACTGCACTCGCTGCATACCCCAGTCCCTCCAGCAACCTCGTCCTGGTTTTTTCGCCCAACACCTTCCACCCCCACATTGACGCTCACCTCCTGACAATCTGACTTGCCCTAGGCATTGGACATGACCAAGCTATCACCCAGAATAGTAAATGGTCCCACATCCTCCTCAGCAATGTCTACACTTGGACCCACACTGGTGCAGAGGCCCACTCCCTGGCCGTGCTTGCCGAGGAGCTTCTCAAGAACCCAGCTATCAAGCACCTCACCATCACTCAACCTCTGCGCTGGGCACGATGACCTGAGCTCATCGTCGGTACCCGCTCATCTGTGGTCCTTGATTTTGAAGATCTGGACGGCTCCCTCCTCACCTCCATCCTCTGCACCCCCTATTCACCTTCGACGCTCCCATAACTGCTTCATGCTGGCGTGAAAAGCCATGCCTTCATCAATGCACAAGGTGCTGGGCGTATGGGCACCTAGTCACTGGGTGCACCAAATTGCTCAGATGCTGTGTCTGCACCAGCCATCATTATGAAGACTTGCATCGTTCACGGTGCACATCGTGCATGAAGGAGAATCGCGCTGCCTCTGATTCCTGCACCTACTCTAGGTGCGTCAACTGTCATGGTCTCCACCACATGGACTCCATCGCATGCCTCAAGCAGGCAGAGTATAGGAACCCAGCTGCCTTCACTGCCTCTGAAGATGGCACAGGCATCATCAGCCCCTCCACTGCTGACCACACCTCTGGAGAGCATGGCGACGAAGTGGACATTGTTATGTAGCTGCTGTTTATGTACTAGTTTGCCCTCTATGTGATTCCCTGGCCTGGCGCAATAGCACGCTGGGCCCTCCCTTGCCCTGTACATTACCCTGCTGTATGATGCTGCACATAGTGCAGGATATAAATAAATGCCAAAAAAAAAGTGGTTCTTCTCATGTTTATTTTTAAATATGCTGTAGGCCATGCACTCTATGTGTCATAGTTTATGTCAAATCCTCACATCTGGCTGTCAAAGTGAATATGAAACAATATTGTATGCAGTTGTTTGAGATCTGCTCTTTGGTGCTTTTCGCAAAGACAAACACTGCTAGAAAGACATAGAATGAGTGAGTATCAAGATAAAGTAGCTGGATATTGGCATATATGCTAAGTACATGCAGATCATAAGAAATGCAGATCAGATTATGGCTAATGTGAGTAGGGCATGGAAAAATAGCCAATGCTAATTAGCCAGGGCTATTTTACCTATGTAAATTACATGTAATTTACAGTTAGTTTCAAAAATGCTAAAAATTAAAGGTAAATTACATTTAAATAGGAAGTGCCCAGGGGTGGGGACGATGGGTGTTCAGAATGTCCATCAGCATTGGCAATGATGTGAGGGGTGGAAGATATCTGCTAAGAGGGACTAACACTGTTTGGACTAGTATAGTGCTGTTTCAAGCTTTATTGCTCATTCACAGCATGAAAATGTACTGTTCATCATCCTTGATGACCAACTATGACAACTCTTCCAGAACAAATTTTGACACTGTGTCAACTCCTCTAAAATCTTCCCGACATAATTCCCTATAAAGCACTTTATGAATCTGCCATTATTCCATTCGATGTACAGTGACCCACAAAACTGTTGATAAGATTGGTTAATTCGACTTGTATAGTAAATATCTCCTCAATCACTGAGCCAAATAAATGTTATAAGAGCTCATTTTAAAGCCTATTATCATGGCTTTACAATGCAATTTTGTTTATATTTTTAGCATTATGTGGATCTTATGATATTGGATACTCTTTGAGGGCCACTCTTATCAACAGTTTTGTGGCGCACACACAAGTTCTCAGAATATTGTGATTCTTGATGTGTTGACAGGGTTCCTTGTGGGAATATTGATTGAATGATCATGTTTCAACATGAACAATGTAGAAACAGCCATACGCAACTTTTCACACTCAACCAACATCATGCCAAAAGCCGTTGCTACTGAAACTGTCAACCATGTCATCGCTTTGCTTCAGAATGGCAAATCTCTTCAAGAAATTGAAGCTTTGACTGAGCTACACTATTCTACCATCGGTAAACTGTGCTCCACACACTGCCCCACCATTCCTAAGGCCAAAGGAGGGTGTCCTTCCCTTCTTACTACTGCCAATCTTCACTATGCTACTCGACTCATTGGGACTGGCAAGGCTACCACATCTCCTGCTGTGGCCAGAGCTCTTGAAGATGTTACTGGGAAGGTCGTCAATGCAGAGACAGTGCAAAGAGGGTTGAAGAAGGCAGGAATGAAGGCTGTAGTGAAGCAAAAAAGGCCTTTACTCTCTGCAAGGCATCAGAAGGAGAGGATGGACTTCGCTTTGGCTCACCAGTATTGGACTGTAGAAGACTGGAGAAGGGTGGTATGGTCAGTTGAGACAAAGATTAACAGGATGGGGTCAGATGGAAGGAAATGGGTGTGGAAGAAGCCAGGGGAGAGCCTCAGTGATAGGTTGGTGAAAGGGACTCAGAAGTTTGGAGGTGGATCCTTGATGATGTGGGGCTGTATGGGTTGGGATGGTGTGGGTATGCCTGCAATATTGATGGCAGAATGGATGCAGACCTTTATGTCAGCATTCTGGAGGATGAGCTGCAGAATAGCCTGGAGGATTGAGGCAAAACTGTGGAGGATGCGGTGTTCCAGCAAGACAATGACCCCAAGCACACCAGCAAGAAGGCCAAGGATTGGTTCAAAGACCATGATTTCAACACCATGCTATGGCCCTCTCAATCCCCAGATCTCAATCTCATAGAGAATTTGTGGGGTCACCTCAAAAAGAAGCTTGCAGAGTATCAGGAGCCACCAAAGGGAATTACTGAGTTGTGGGAAAGGGTAGAGAAGGAATGGGAGGCTATTGGAAAGGAAGTGTGTCAGAATCTGATTGAAAATATGCCAAGGAGGGTGGATGCAGTTGTGAAGGCAAAGGGAGGCTATACCAAGTACTGAAAGTATGAGTTTTGTAGAACCTGAATATGTGCCACAAAACTGTTGATAAGAGTGGCCCTCAAAGAGTATCAAATATCTTAGGATCAAAATATGCTAAAAATATAAACAAAGCTGCATTGGAAAGCCATGATAATAAGCTTTCAAACGAGTTCTTATAACATTTAGTTGGCCCAGTGGTTGAGGAGATATTCACCATACAAGTCGAAGTAAGCAATCTTATCAACAGTTTTGTGGGTCACTGTAGATGTGAACAATACCCTAGACTCTGAAGAGCAATGGATGATGTTCAACCAAGCACTTAAGGCTCATCTTGGTCCACGCACTGGTTCAAGAAACACATTTGTGTTGAAGGAGCAAGAACCAGAGATTGAAATGCTTGTATATGTGTTTGAAGACAATTTGATACATCTTGAAGAGCATATTCTCTTCCAAAAATGGGTGGACGATTCTATTACAGTTGCAGAAAATGTCTATCTCACACACTGGGTGAAGCAATCAATAATTTGAGGTAAAAGATGGTAAAAATATCGAAGAAAAAGTTCAAACCTCTTAAGCATCTTCACTGTCAATTTGTGATAAAAGTTTTAAAATATTATTAACATCTTTTATTGTGAAAGATGATGAAAAGATTGAAAGGAGATCAAATGAAATATTAATATATATTTGTTCGATCATTTTACAATCTTTCATTTAAACTATAATAAAAAGTTTTAAAATCTTTTTTCACTCTTTTTTGATTAAAGATGATGAAAATATTGTGACTATGTCCTTGTTTTCATCTACTAAGCTAGTACTAAGATATGGAGGTTAATACTCAGGTTTATATGTTAGCTAGTACTATGGTCAGAAGAGGGATACTAAGATTTCAATGTTAGCAGAATGCTAATACTAAAATCTAAATGCTAGTGCTATGCTAGTACTAAGCTAGTACTTTGGCATGCTCAAGCAGATAAAAGTATATTGTGCTCGAGATAACGAGAATGACAGTTTATGCTCACCTACTTAGGTGTTAAAATCAGATAGTGCATTTATATATGTGCCTCAAAAAGGATTGTTCACCTATGGTCATTGATTATGCTTATGCTTTGATTGACATGATGCATCTCAGCATGTTCTGATCTGTCACATGAGTCACGCTGGCCCTCAAATGACTGCCACTCTCATTGTGCCACTATCTCCATTCTGTCGGCCATGTATCCTGCTTCATCGAATGAATCAGTATTGCTGCTGATCACTAACATTATCACAGCATACACCTTGTTAGGAACACAGGTGGAGAGCACCCTTCACACACAAATGAGTGATACTGCTCATGAAATGATGCAGGTGTCCTCAATGTGCACGTTTTACAGCCGCTGTCATTCTGCTGTCTGGTCCATCATGTCAAACATCTGAGAACTTGTATGGTGGGGTCTGAGAGGAGATGAAGGAATGTATTTTTGGTGGTGCAGCCTGAGCATAAGTGCACATTATAAACACAAGTTCTAACTGTAATGCATGAGCTGCTTACATCAGACACCAAAGTGTATGCCACTCAACATGAAAGCACAAACGAATCATTCTTAAGCTCTCATAATTTTGTCTGCTGGTGCCCCTCAATATAACTAAGGCCTGCAAATAGTACTAAGGTTTGAAGGTTAGTACTAAGACCTGAATGCTAGTACTATGCTAGTACCAAGCTTGTACTAAGATCTGAATGCTAGTACTATGCTAGTAGTAAGGTCTGGAGATTAGTACTATGCTAGTACCAAGCTAGTACTAAAATCTGAATGCTAGTACTATGCTAGTACTAAGGTTTAAAGGTTAGTACTAAAGTCTAAACATTAGTACTATGCTGGTACTAAGGTCTAAATGCTAGTACTATGCTAGTACTAAGCTAGTGCTAAGATGTAGACATCGATACTATGCTAGCGCTAAGGCTTCAATAGATAGCACTAACATTTGAAGCTAAGTATTAACCTTTATATTCGAATATTGGCTTAGTGCAGAATGATAATGATATGACATGGTCACAATGTGTTCATTATCTTTGATAAGAAAAGAATGAAAAAAGACTTTGAAACTTTTTATCATAGCTTTATCTAAAAGATTGCAAAATGGTTGAAAAAAAGATTGCTGATATGTTATCTAATCTTTTTCCAATATTTTTATCATCTTTAACAAGAAAAGATGTTAATAATATTCTGAATCCTTTTATCACAAATTGACAGTAAAGATGCTGAAAAGATTTAAACTTTTTTTACAATTTCTTTACCATCTTTCACCTCAAATTATTGATTGTTTCACCCAGTGACAGCTAACATTTCAGTAAGCTTGAATAGCAAATCAACACTGCGTATATGTATAATGATAAAATTATAGCTGCTGCTTGCATCGTTGATAGACGTAGCCTCTTCTATGGCTGACAAGCCTGAATGCAAGCCTATTGTGCCAATCTGGATTGAGAAAAGTGGTGGCACACACTCACTTATGACTGTCCTGGGAAAGTGTGGAGAGAATGAGACAAAAAAGCAAGTGAGTACCAATAAAAAGATGACAAAGAAAGCACCACGACCAGACACATAGGAGCTCACATCATATCTTGATCTGGACTTTGTATCAAGTGACGAAGATGATGACAGTCGAGGAGGTGGTACGAAGCTGCATCTATTGCTATTGCAGATCACCAAGCCATGCCGATGCACTGACGAGTCTGAGAAGAAGTGGGTGCAATGCATCGCAAGTGCAGCATGCAAGACATCATGGACCTGGCCTCGTAACTTGAGTCAGATCTTAAATCATGTGAAAAAATGTGGATATTTTCCTGCAAATCTAAAGCATGCTGTGTTGGAGCTCTCAGCAGTGAAGTCACATGGAAATCAGCTGAGACTGGGAGATATCAAGCCAGAAAATAGCAGGGAATCAGAGATAGAGCCAGAGAGTGATGATGATTGTGCAGAGACCAAGATGCAGCCCATCAAGAAGGTGAAGATGGAGTCAGACATGTTCCAAAAATATTAAGATGTCAGGAAGCAGGAACTCAAGACCTGTGGTGATCATGCACTTGTACTGCTTGTAGCATGTAATGGGCTGTCAACATGAGTGATCGACTCATATAAGTTTAAGAACTTTGTGAACATTGTTGGGCATGGAAAGTACATCCCTACAAGTGCAACAATCCTATGGAACTGGTTGAGGAAGCTGCAAGACTGCAGCTAGAGATCATTCATTATCTGCAAGGTGTACATGACTTGACAATCTCTTTTGATGGCAGAAACATCTGAAAACCCAAAGGCATATACATAATCCACATCATCACACCAGAATGCCAAGGCTTCCTAATAGATGTAAATGATGCATCTCATGTCAGCCACACTGCAAAGTACATTGTGGAGATACTCAAGCCAGTTATCAAGAGCGTCAGTGCATCCAATATCTCAGCGGTGGTAGCAGACAACACAGGAAACACATGTAAGGCCTGTCAAATAATCTGCAAGTTATTCAGACACATATTCAACTTGTAAGACTGCTGCCACAAAATGAACCTGGCACTATTACAGATTGGTGAACTGCCAGAATTTGCACCTGTGTGTGACGACAGACTTATTTTGATATATTCAAGTGGCATAAATTAACCTACCTTATTGATAGATGATTGCTGATTTGAAGGCAATTTTAGTGTACATGCACAAGTCAATCTATGCAGCAGAACACTTTAATGATGCCCGTGCAGCTTTCAACATTAAGAATGGCCTTACAATGATTGGAGAAACATGCTTCAGTACATATACATGGGCAGTGATCTCAGTGCACGACTGCTTACCTGCATTCTATGATATCATCAGCAAGCCTGAATTGGGTATTGTTATTGACATTTTGGTGAGTTCTGGACTTTATACTACTCACAATACATGGTTCACTGATGTGTTCCAGCCCAAGAAAAATGCATTCAGGCAGAATACCCATGATACAATTGAGTTTGAGTATAATCTCATGAGATTTATTGCACTTACAAGTCTGTTTGTGAAGGCTATCAAGTGCCTTGAGTTGGCTTACTCAACTATTGCTGACGTCTACTTGTTCTGGCTCACTGTTGTTGCCCATCTTGCTGATCTGTTCATAAACAATGTGGTCAATCTGTCTCCATCAACAATAGATGCAGTGTGAGCCATTACCAATCACCATTTCAAGGAGATGATTGATGATGCATCTAGAGACATCTACATTACTGTGTTCTACTTGGATCCTCGTAAATCATCTCTCATTAGCTCAGTGATTGCCATGACTCACTGGTAAGTAACTCAGGTTATCATGATGCCACTGTCTTCAAGCATCTCAATCTGCTCACTATTCCACGCATACGGCTTGCACCATCAAGTGGGTCTGGCACTGCTAAGGAGCAGGAACCTACAATTGAAGAATGCGATGACTCTGTCTTGCGCTGAGTTGGCTTGAGCTTGCAACATATACTGAAGAGTGAGTACAGCAGCATTGCTGCCGGTCTTAAGGGTGATGAGCTCCATGTGGCCATGAGTCTCAGGAATCCTCATCTTGTGCACTTGACATCAGCCTAAGCGTCAAAAGGCCTGTGATCAGAGCTGTGAGCCATTTGACAAGCCACTACATGATGGACAGAGTGTGCGAGATTGATGAGTACAGAGACAGAAAGATGCTGATGCGACAGTTCTTGGAGTGAGTTGCCAGAACTTTGAATTTGCAAGCAGACAATGACTTAGAATGGGTCGTTATTAGGCACTCGACATCAAGATATACTCAGCAGTTCCAAACTCCATGGCAGATGAATGAACAATGTCGACCATGACATGGCTCAATGATGCATGGCATGCCACACAGGATGTGCAAAATTTATTTGACACAATTACTATTTGCCAATTCCATCGCTACGACCCAAGCAAGCAAGAAACAATGCCCAAGGCAAGGCCAGTAGTCAAATGGCAGGACATGGATGCAACAATTCATAGCAGAGGAGATGATGAAATGGGAGCAGAAAACATTGGTGGAGCAGGCCTGTCTATGGCTGACTTTCTCGAAAATGGGCAGGATTACATGATGGAAAATATGGCAGATTTTGCCATGCCTGAGGTTGTTGACATCAATTCAGCTTTCCTCAAGGAAATTCTCTCCAACAATCCAACTGTACTTAATCAGCCAGTGCAGAAAAAGGTCATGGAGATTATTGAGGATGAGCAGCCTGACTGGGACCATTGGTAGCGGCATAGACAGTGTAGGAAGTTGTAATTTACCATCATTTTGAGTAAATTTACCAGCTAATTAGCGTTAATTACCTCGGTGTTTCGGGGGCTGCGCCCCCCGGACCCCCCTTTGTTAATTAACCGTAAATTACATAGGTAAAATAGACCCTTGCAGGGGGCCATTGCTAAGTAGCCGGTTAAGCAGGTCACAATTCCTAATTTTTCGCGCCCTAAATGTGAGCTGGAAGCACATCGGGACCGGATGGGAGACAGGCGTGGCGTAGTGTGTCGGAACGGCTGCAACGCACAGGTACGACGTAAGGAGCCCAGTAAATCCCGCCCATGCCGCGCTGAGCGAGAACAATCCAACAGGTAGTGACGGAATGTTCTTGTTGCAATGTCGTCGCACCTGGACGACCGGCCACCCTGGGCGAGCAGCTAGCATGTCCGCAAGTCCGTCACTGTCGCAACGGCAGGGAACATGTTATTGCGACGATCTCATTCATATCACAGGCTTTCAATACAGTGTAGAGTACATAGAACAGTGTATAATCAGCTAATGCCGGTGGGCGATTCAATGCCCGCCCACACTCTTCTTCTGCTGCTCGCCAATATCCAAGCGGACCTCCCTAATCCCTTCTGCAGCGATCATCGCAGGTCCCTCGAACGTTCGGTCCGAGTTAAAGAACGGCGTCGCGGGGCTGAGCGAAACAGGTGTGCGTCCAGAATGAGTGAGCGCAGGTGAAACAAGCGGAGAGTGATCTTCGTCGTTCGAGGCAGGCCGCGGAGGGAGGCGGTTGGTACGAATGGACGCAGTGCGACTGTCGTGTTTCCCAGTATTGTCCTGCTCGCTGAACATCGTGGCAGCCGTGGGTTGTCGGCCCTCGCGAACGAAGGGAGCATTGCTGTCGTCCGGATCGGCGGAACGGAGAGAGGTTCTGTCTAGAGAATTGTGCTTGCTATTTACCAGGTAGTTCGTACTGCTGCTGCGATTGTCGTAATGACTGGCGCTGCCGATAATTGTGCTGCTCATACTGTGGATATGGTTGGTTTTGTTGTTGGAAGTGCTCGAGTTTACGGCGCGATCCTGTGATGTAAAAGTAGTTAAGAGACTCTGCGAAGAACGGTTGCTGAGGTACTGCGAGGGGAATGTCGTGGATCGCATGTGTAAGGCTTGTGCGTTGTTGTCGCCTTCGACCTCTACACGGGCGTGAGATGCGTGCGTTCTGTTTCTTTGGTGCTGTTGATGGACGAGAGCGCTGTGAGAACCGGATCCCAGGGGAAAAGAAGAGCGGTTTTCTGCGCCGAGGCGAAGTAGATTGTTTGCATCTCCGAGATCCACGAGAGATTGCTGTTGTTGCAATGGCCCTTGCGCATGGAAATCGTCCTCCGACATGGGGGGAAGGACATCCAGTAGACGACGGGTTGGCTCCCGGCCCAGCGTACTTTTACCAGAGACGGGCGAGTCCATCACGCCACGAGCCTGGTCGAGCAACGACGCGCCGTACTGGTTTTCCATTTGGTTCTCTAGCAGGTTCCATACTTGCTGCCTCTGGACATGGGCCTGAAGGAGCATCCTCTCCATCGGCGTGAACCCATTGTCCGCGCGAGCTGCCAATCCACCCACGCCGGTTCCCATAGAGGACTGCAGCTGCGCATTTTGCAAAGATGATGAGTCGTCTTGAAGTAGCGACGGATGAGGCAGTATAATGCCTGGCCGCATCAAACGCGACGCATCCGAGATGAGACCATCACACATCTCCCCACCTGCGAGCAGCGACATGCCTCGCATCGGATCCAACGACTGCAAAAAGGGCTGTTGTGCAAGCGGTAGCGTCGACGATACTGAAGAAAGGGGTAAATTACTGGCCAACCTCCCGGATAGAAGGGGAGAGTTTGCATTGACGCCGTTCTGTAGATACCCAAGATCTGCCCGCATAAGAGGAGAAGAAGTAAGTCTTGGGTTGAGCTGTGTGCCGTTGAGGTTGAGGAGAGCAGCTTGTGCCATCGTGATGCGACCAGGAGAATTATCACCGTCTCTATTCATCCGCTCCAAACGCTGCAGAAGGAAATCATCGGCAATATGCTCACGGTAACATAAACGGTCCAGAAGGAGGGAACGAAAGAACGGAAAATAATAGATGATGCGACGATTTGGGATCCGAGAGCTTGCGACAGTCATCGCACAAACGCAAGCTCGTTCGAACTGCACGCATGACGACATAGAATGTCACTCACCCTGAGTTCTCTCTGCTCGGTTGTATCGGCGAACCGAACAGAAATCCTGCAACCAGAGTCCTTTTCCCACCCACGGACAAGACGACCGTGCAAGCGTTCGACGACCTCTTCCGCGGCTTCACGAGTCTCCAACCTACATAAAAAAACAAATGAGACTCCCGCCAAAAGCACTGCGGTACAATCTTTGTACATATATACGCTTTCAGCTTACCTCACGAATGCAATCATTCTCGGCGGATTGCTCAGCCTTGTCTGGAAGAAGCGGCTGCTCATGATGCGATACGGGCGTACGAGTGCAGCGAGCGTCTGGTCGTCGATACTTAAAGGCAAGCCCTCCATGTACAAGTTCGTCGACGTGGTATCTTTCAGCTGCTCCATACGTGCTTTGAATGAATCTGCAGGAAGGCGATGAATATCGGAATTTGGCCCTCCAGGGGTGAACGAAGAAGATGAGTATATTGTGCCAGGAATCTTGTGAATTTGCTGCAATAATTGCAAGTCAGAACAGAGGCAAAGAGATGGGCGAATGACTACCGCACCTTCGAGAATGACGGGTGGAGATTTCTATATTTGCGCAGAGATTCGACGCACTTTTCCGCGGCTTCAATAGTATCAAACCTGTTGCCGAAATCCATCGGTCAATGTTAACGAGTATCGGACAATGGTACTTACAAGACGAACCCGTACCCACTACATCACAAGTGTCGGACGGAGCAGAGCAATATCCAAAATGACAATCAGCATCGGCACCTTCGCTTTTGTTGGAAAACAGCCGGGCATGAAGCGCATATCGTGCGTATACAATCGAACGATGGAACGAATGCAAAGTAAACGCGGGCGTTTATACGGAAAGGAATCACGTATATCAGCACCGTAAAGGACGGCGAACGACACCCATTCCCTCAGGGATACCATGTGCAGATATGCCGACCCGCGCCAACCCAGGAAGAGATAGAAAAAAACTTACGAAGGCTTGTCACAAACGTGCCGGGTGAATGTCCGCACGCTAAGGACTTGTCCAAACTCATGTGTCATCTTAAACAAGTCCTCTTCGGGGAAATTCGGAGGCAGTCCATTGATATAGACGTTCGGAGTGCGGAACTCAGACGACTGAGTCTGCGCATCCATCGGCTGAGACTTGACGGGGGATGTCTCCTTGCAGCCATCTGCCGACTGAGGTGTGTTCATGGGAGCCATTCGTGAGTCTGAAGCCGATGTCTGGGAAGCAGCTGCGCGAAGAAGACCCATTCAGTACGGGAGGCACAAATGCGTGGCTCTCACTTACGAAGAGCGCCAGCGCCTTGTCCAGAAGTAGGAAGGGATGGAGTACCAACAGCTTGTTCGGTCACATGAGGGGTGATTGCGTGGACGGCCACTTTGACTGGGACGCTAACCGCTGGGGCGAGCTTGTGGATGTCAATGGGCGCGTCGAGAATACGGCTCTGGAATTGTGGAGCACTCGCGGACAGCATAGAGGCGATGGGACGGGCGACGTTGAATCCTTCGCTGGCTGAAGATAGCTGACAACGCTGATGAGATACATCTGACGAAGAGACTTCACGAGAGAGGCTCTGGAGAGAGGAACTATCGTTGGAAGATACAAACGAATCAGAAGAGGCGCAATGATAACGAGACGATCCGCTGTCGCTGGTGATGGAAGAGCCAGGGCTAACAGGTGGGTTGTTCGTAGAGGTATCGTGGTCGGTAGTCAACGTCTGCGAGAGCGGGGATGAGCGCCTTGGAGAATGCTGATGAGCGTGCTGAGTAGTAGAGCTAAGAGAAGAGGATGAAGACTGGGTCTCGTGCGTGTACATGGACATTATGGGTACTTTGAGGTGGTTCGCAGGGTATCAGATCGTGAAAGTTTGAGAGCCAAAAGAAAGCTGGAAACGAGCTGATATGGACTGGAGACAGGAAGAATGCGTAGAAGGTCAAGCGAAGCGAAGCGATCTCGTATGCGATGCCGTTACTTCCCAGCACATGAAGCTAACGCAGCGAAATGTTTGGCGGAACGATCCTGAGGATCAACGGTGTGTCACACGTAGTGCTTGAAGCTGGAATAAGAATATGGATAGCGGGATGTTAAGTGGCAAGGATGGGGCTGGATACGAGCTGTGGGCGGGTATGAGGGGGGATATGATGTGACGGGAGAAAGAAAAGGGGGCATTGCGAGGAAGGTGGATTCTTATAGCTGCAGCGCGGCATGTGGTCGGAGGATGCCGCTCACCGAGCTGAGCTGCGACCTGTCAACGCACCGAGCACGCCTTCCAAATCGAGCAGCAGGAGTGCCATACTGGGAAAGAGCGAGACCGAGGAGTGGCCAGCGGCTTCTAAAGAACGATCGTCTCGTGATTTCGTGGCGACACTATGCCCATATCGAGCAACGAGCTTCCTGGTTGGCGCAACGGACGCCGGCACGCGCGCTGCCACTCGCTCCTCCTCTGACGGCTCGGCGCCCTCTGCCATCAATTATGTCCTCGCTCGCATGGCTCCATTCGCACTCCGCAGCTGCCCACGTTGCTCACGGTGTAATGCACATATGATTATGCAATCTATATCAACGAATTTCTAAGGAGAGCATACAATCAGATCTACCGGTCCTAGAGAATTGTATGCTCTCCTTTGCAAGCATCACCCACGCGTTGATGCAGTAAGAGACTCGCCCAATGAGGAAGTCGAATACGTGCTGTGTGCATCATTTGCGCGCAGAGATCTGCAGGATTCTTGAAACTATCTTGAAAGATTGACCACGCGAAGGTGCCAAGCCTAAATCCGAATACGTCTTTCCTGCTTGTTCAGCACATTTTCGGGCAACCAAAGTCTTGCTTGTCAAATGGAATGATCCCATAATCGCGCACTTCTCTACCAAAGAGAGCAGGAAGAGTGCTTGTTCCGATAAAAAGGTAATGACGCGCCGTCATTCGACGCGTACTAACGCGCTCACCATGCCCCATGCCCGCCTCGAATCACGCAAAGCGTCGTCTGCGATCTGCTTTTTGCAATAGAATCCACTGTATCCCGCACGCTGTAATTACGACAGATAGCGGCTATTCTGATGTCGACAATTTGGGACACAATGGAAAGGACGGAGAGAGCGTGTAGCTAGATAGACTAATACTAGATGCCAGTGGAGGAGAATCACAAGTTGCGATCTGCATGGCGCCGACCATCTGAGTCTCCACCCCTAAGGGCCTCCGTGCCCTCGCATCCTTTTCTCCTGAATGCAAGGCATATCCAAGGCAGGATCTACTACCACCTCAAAGAAAGCACCAATTCTCACTGCAGGAAAGGCTTTATAATTGAATTGAGTAATTCAGCCTTTCATGTCAAGTGAATAAATTTGGAGAAAGGCTAGGAAAGGTCCCATTTTGCACCTTTCCTGGCCTTTGATTTGCATCAGACTAGCCTACATTAACGGTAGAATGTCGTAGAACGGAAAAAGTCAAAGATAATCCACAAATGCTTTATTTACTCCTTTTTTACGGTAGAAATCGGTGCACTTCTCCGCAATGTTTCTACAGGTTTTCACATGGAAAAATAATTCTATGCACAGAGTGCATGGCTGACAGGAGACAAGTTCACGGGACATCAATTCATCAACAATGAACATCCATACAAATCCGGGGCCACCACATTTGTTATGGGCCTAAAGAACCCGTGCACTCTAACTCTCGCCTGACCCGCCAAGGTCCTCTGGCTCAAGTAGAAGGGGTGAAGGTCTAACTCGAAACTGGGGGGTAGGCCCCAGCTCGAGCCAGTATATATATTAGCGGGGTAGGACCCCTGGTACTGGGGGTAAGCCCAGCAGTACCCTAATACACAAGATTAGGCCATAGTGGCGTGCTATGGCGTGCTATGACGTAGCTAAGTCCAGACGAGTCCGTAGGGGCCTCAGTGCACCTACCTGGTCTAGGTCTATGATGTCATCGTGATGTAGGGTCACGTGACTTGTACATGTCCGAGGGATGTCCGAATGTCCCTGTGGCGTGGGTATCCTATGATAGCCACGTGGTAATGTCCTTATATCGTAAGGGTATGAGGTGGAGTGGCCCAGACGTCCTATCCTTGGAGTGCCTAGAAGGTGGTTACGAGCGATAATCGTAACATGACCCCCGTCCTACACCGAAGTGTCCTCACGAGGCCCTTTGGTTACGGGTTCCACTGGTATATTCCCTGCCTTGATGCGCTGCTGCTGGAATACTTCCTTGGCATCGGGAGGATCCTCTCCGTCATTCGCTGATTCCTTTAGCATTGCTTTGGCGGAGTTTTAATGTGTGGTATAAGTGTGGTTCCCAGGGTCCCTTCGTTTGGATTGATGGGTATAGACGTATAAAGCCCGTGCTTCTAGTAGATTGATCGGAGTATTTGAGTGATCTTTCTACAACACTGGGCATCGTCTTTTGTCCTCCGGGGTTCGGTGATCTGTCCTGGATCAGTGTTGCTTCCTCCACCACTCCGGGTATCTACGGAAGATTAGTTTTGCCAGTAATGGTCTTTGATATAGGGTATGCGATGCCTTGGATCGCGCCATTCCCTTGGACCCGATAATGGGTATAATCACGTAGGTTGTGATCCTTGTATTACCGATCTGTCGGTAATGGATACGACCGTCGGCGGATATACTTTGCCTGTAATGGTCTTAGTAGCGGCTGATTGAGTCTGTGATGTCCATTTGTCATGGGTATACTTGTGACTCGTGGCCCGTAATGGCCCGGTGTACTTTCTTAGTAAAGACCGTGTTGCGCCATATGGGTATATTTATATTAGCTGATTAGGTTTCCTGTCTTGCCTAGACTTGTTTCCCTTGTGGCTTAGATAAGGTATTCTGCCTTATTACGCTCCGGACCCTAATTGCCGGAAGCAGGTATTGGTGGTTCGGGTGATGGGTACTCGTCTCGGCTGTAGACTGTACATAGAGCATCTTCTTGGTCTGCCTACACCAAGTGATGGATATGCATCGTGGTCTCTCAGCTGCGAGCATGGCATCTTCCCGTTCCGGAGGTATACTGACTGTATAGTAGGGTATCGTTGTCGTTACAATATGATAAGGGTATCCGTGCGTGGGCCCAACATTTCCTTATGTGGGTTATCTGACGTGTCGTGGGTGCGGATTAGGTGATTATCTCACAGTTCCTATAATGGCGCTCATAGCAGCCAGGCAACCTGAGGATGGATAAGGGTTTATCCTAATGGTATATTGGAGCTTCTCTAACTCCGTCGTTACCGTGGGACTTGAGATTTCCCGATGTACGTCCGCAGCTTACTCATCCAGAGCTCGCCATCCTTAGGCCGTACTTCAGTACTTTCCCAAGTCCTTGATCATGACATAATGAGCGTGGGTGGTAGGATATATTACCCCCGTCCTAGGTGGTGTCTTCCTGACGCCTACTTGTCTGAACCCCTTGGGCTCGTCCCTTTCTATAGGTTAGAGGATGGCCGGGTATCTTGATCCAGCAAGTCCTAAAGTGGAGAGCGTATTCTTCAGGTATCTCCGGGTATTGGATTATGTAATAGGCTTGGTTCCTATAATGGTGCAACGCAGCCAGGTTGCCAAGCGTATTGTAGTTGGGTTATGTTATTATTAGGTTACTTGATTCCTATAGTGGCGCTCTAAGCTGCCAGGATATCAAGCCTAAGATATTTGGGTATAGTCATGATCACTATCTCGGTTTGGTCTTACCCGATATGAACTGCCTGTCCGATCGGCACCCGTGCCGATCTAGCGTGTGAAAATGGTATCTCTGAATAATGACTGTATGTAGTTGAGATTCGGCTACGGCGATCTCCTTGGATCTATTGCCTCCTGCAGTTACGATGCCTAAGCAACGCGTGCACTCAGCGTCCTAGGGCCGAGCCTTATGATATGAGTATCAACGAGGTCTAGCGTCGTTGGGTATGTGTCGTAATGATGGCGTAAAAAGGTTATTCCCAGATATAACTTCTGGTATTGGTGGGAATACCTATTATTCTAGGGTTGCTACTACGCTAGGGGTAATACCTTCTAGTACCCCCGTCCTAGGGCTGAGCGTCCTCGCCAAGCCATTTCCTGGACTCCTTGGGCTTTCCCTGGGGTATATGGTACTCGCCGGGTATCTTAGTCCGGATGTTACCAGGTACGAAGGTCGCAGTTCGTGGATATCTTCAGTATGTTATTATTTAGTTTTCCCCGAGTCCTGGGTTGAGATTACTATATTTGGGTATCATAATAGATAGCCGTGCCCCCCACGAGCCCTGATTGCTCGCGGAGGGTGTTCGTAATGGAAAGTGATCGCGTCGTCAGCACTGTGCACCTTGTTCAAATGGTATTCTCTTTTCCTGTACCACCGAGACACTGCCTGTGTCAGCGGGGTCGAGAACCTTGCGTCCAAGTGAACTGCCTTGGCACTTCTGATTTGATCCGACTGGAGTATCACGGTCAATGAAGAATATATTATTTATAAAATAGTCCTTGGGCTGGACGGCCACGGACAATAAATGCAGGTAACCTATTCGCCGAAGCTAGGCACCCAATAACTAAAATCTCTGAAGTTGTTCCAACAGCGCAAAGCAGCCGAGGCTTCGAAGTGTGAGAGTTGTTCCCTCTAGTGGCACCTACGGCAGCCAGGGCTCTCAACCGATCCTATTTATCTGAGCGCAAAGCAGCTGGGCAGGATAGCGAATAAAAGGTATAGACGGAATTAAGTACAAGGACCCACAAGGAACCCCTGCCAAGCTTTACTCGGCTGCGTCCACAGCGTCATCATAAAGACCCCATCTTTATGATGTTACAAAAATTAAATGGCTTTAATATAGCCATTACTTCTGGTGCCCCTACTGGACTTTCAGAAGTTTGTCGTGGGCTCAGTACTTCTTCAGCCCTGTTTGTCGGCACGGTACTTCTTCGGCCGGTGTCATAAATGATGGATCGGAGCAGCTCCCCACTCACGGATCAATCCTGACCCTCGATCCTTTTGATCTGCTCCCTCGCCAATTGTCTTCGTCGATTTGGACTGTTGTAGTTGGTTCCGGAGAGAGCGGAGTGTAAACCTTCAGCTTGGTGCCAGGGCGGTGGACCCATTCTTGAGCCTTCGAGTCGCTGAGGATAGTCGAAGGGGGAAAACCTTTGGCTGGGCGCCAGGGCGATGGACCCTTTTTATCGAATCTGGAGGCGGTGCCTCGGGGTGGATGCTCTTTTGCACGAGCTCGAAGTGCCTGACCAGGCGAAGTCTTCATCGGCTAACGTGCTAGTGCTAGCTACTTGTAACTATGGAGGCAATACTGAGCAGTCCGCAGTCGCGGAAGGGTCTTAACAGCCTTTGATTATTACGCTGCCAGTGTCCAACAACTCCCGAGGGTCTTCTGGTACCCTGGTCCACCGGTCATTCCAACCGAGTGTTCTGACAGTTCGTTCCGCCACAATATGCCTATGTACTACATGGCTATGAATAACTAATCCCCTAACAAGTCGGGTTTACAGTGGGGATGAAGGCTGTTCTCGGTGCCGCTTTAGCACTGAGCAGGTGTGTTTAGTCCCTCGACACCCGAGGTTATGCAGGTCACGCTGGTACAGCGGTCCAGATGATTGCTGTCCTACAGCATTTAACGGAAGCCCTTTCCCGTGGAGCTCATACGTTGTGATAGCTATCTCACTGGTATACCGTGATGAGACTTTAAAAGGTCATCCCACAGGCCAGCTTTCGCTATTAGACAGTAAACTGTCCGTTGGCATGGCAGCTATGGCCAAGGATATTTTTTATGGGCTTGGCAGCTCCGCTGTCAGAGTCACCGGTGCACTTTAGCTGTGGTGTTGCTCCGTAGCGGTACCCTTTTAAGGAGTACTGCACCCCTCTGCCCGGGCTCGTTGCACTGTCGTCAGGCTTTACGGCCCTCTGTGCCCCGATGGATTTTAACTGCCCAGTTCTGCGGAGTCCTCTTATGTCAGAGGTCACGGCAAGGTCTGCAACAGGTCATGGTCGAAGCCTTCTGCCAACTTTCACGGAGGCTTGTTTAAGGCCTTTATTCCGGCTTGTCATGCGCTCGTTTATGTCATCGGGGTGGCGCCCCTAGGATGCCTCACCGCCTAAGGGCTCTGGCAATCTCTTCGGTTGTTTTTGCCCTGATGCAAGGAGGACGGTGCCCCCGGTGGATCTTCGGCACTCCGGCCTGGGCGGTTGACCCATGTGGTGACTTTGTTTTCACATGGCTGCCTGCCTACTGCAGGGGAGATCCTACTCCCCGGGGCCTCCCCGACACTGCCTGCATCGAGGGGTGGTGGGTGGTCGTGATGACCGTGCTATGCCCTGCCTGGGCGGTGTCGTCGACGTCAGAATCTGCTGCCTGTGGGTTGTTCGGAGCGTCGTGGTCGTTGGCGGATCCTGCCTGGATGTCGCCGAGTGCCCGATGTCACCATGCCTTGGCTTGTCGGGGAACTGAGAGGGTGCCTGAATCGGCAAACGAGTGCCTTGCCGGGGCTGACTGCCTTGTGTCCGACAAGTGGTGTGCATACGACCTGGACGGCTGCAGCGAGTGGAAGGTGGTATAGTGGTCGCCAAAGAGAAGTCCGAACTGAGGCGGCTACCGGTGCCCACAGCCCTAAGGGAGTAGTTTCGAGTTATGTTATGGGCCTAAAGAACCCGCATACTCTAACTCTCGCCTGACCCGCCAAGGTCCTCTGGCTCAAGTAGAAGGGGTGAAGGTCTAACTCGAAACTGGGGGGTAGGCCCCAGCTCGAGCCAGTATATATATTAGTGGGGTAGGACCCCTGGTACTGGGGGTAAGCCCAGCGGTACCCTAATACACAAGATTAGGCCATAGTGGCGTGCTATGGCGTGCTATGACGTAGCTAAGTCCAGACGAGTCCATAGGGGCCTCGGTGCGCCTACCTGGTCTAGGTCTATGACATCATCGTGACATAGGGTCACGTGACTTGTACATGTCCGAGGGATGTCCGAATGTCCCTGTGGCGTGGGTATTCTATGATAGCCACGTGGTAATGTCCTTATATAGTAAGGGTATGAGGTGGAGTGGCCCAGACGTCCTATCCTTGGAGCGCCTAGAAGGTGGTTACGAGCGATGATCGTAACAACATTAGGCAACCGTTACTGATTGGCACATCGCCCGACAGCAGTCTTTCTTTTCATTTCCTGTCGTACTGGCCAAAGATACACATGGGTTTTGAAAACGAGGATTGTGCCGGAAGTCCTGACTCAGCATCACGCAAAGTATGCTATGTTGTCTCGAACGACCTGGTAAAGGTGTGCATGAAACCCTGAATGTGAAACCTTTACTGATAAGCTTGGGCTGCAATAGTGTTCCTCACTGCTGCCTTCCAATCACCATCGCTCTTTTCTCGTGCACTCGCTAGCCAAAGCGTACGGGCTTTTCGATCCGTCCACGGATCGGAACAGAACCAAGTTACAAATCCTGCGACCTACTCCAGCGAACTACAAAGATCTTTCTGTATATCATAGCCGTGATTATTTGTCCGCTGTTCTTAATGAAGAGAACACTGAAGAAACATTCCGCGCATCCGGGCTCTCTAGAATGGATGACTCAGGGTATGGGCTTGAGCACGTAAGCACTGACACAACGGTTGCTCTTTTCCGTGAACTTCTTCTGGCGACAGGACTGTCCGCTCTTCACAGGGCTACCAGCATACGTCAAACTCGTAGCAGGGGCAACACTGACAGGTCAGACTTCAAGATATAGCTACTTAGATTTCAAGAAGCATATCTGACCGAGTCGTTAACCGCCAGCTGCAAAATCTCTCCAGAGTGGTGACGTGAACGTCGCCATATGCTGGGATGGAGGAAGGTGGCACCCAGTTTCTATCGAGTCGTTCACTTGTTGATGACTTTCTAAACAGACATCATGCGCGTAAATCTCAAGCATCAGGCTTCTGCTACGTTGCCGACTGCATCCTCGCCATCCTTGCCCTCAAACGCACACAGGTTTTCTTCAGTCCAACACCCCGCAAGGCGCGAATCATGTACCTCGACCTCGACCTTCATTTCTCCGATGCAGTATGCGAAGCATTTGTCTCCTCCGCAGATCATTCGGGTGCCCCTCAAGTTCTCACCCTCTCGGTTCACCATACTTCCCCAGGATTCTTTCCTGTCTCTCATCTGGCATCGCTATCGGACCCCGCCTCCCCGGCATTTGATCCCTTCTCTCTGTCTCTTCCGCTCGCAGCAGGTGCTTCTGATGCCTCTTTTGCAAAAATTTGGCCTTCAGTTGAGCGCGTGAAAGATGCGTTCGAGCCCGACTTTGTGGTAGTGCAGTGCGGCATGGACGGGCTTGCAGGCGATCCGAATGCCGTATGGAACTGGTCACTCGGATCTGCGAATGGCAGCGTAGGGTGGTGCCTCAAGCGCATTTGTAATGAATGGAATTGCAAAACACTGCTTCTGGGTGGAGGTGGTGTCTATCATATTTAGCGGCATTGCTTTTATTGATCCATTGCCACAGGAGGTTACAACTCTGCCAACGTGGCACGGGCATGGACGTACTTAACATCTATCGCCGTAAGCGTAATTGTAGCTTTCTGTAAATGACTGCAATTGCTCACGACGAATACGTAGCTTGATCAATTCCTGTCTCTGGACTCTGATATACCAGACCATGCCGCCTTCCCCCTATATGCTCCCACATTCACGTTGGATGTCCCACCCGGAACCACTCCAGACAGGAACACAGATGAGTTCTTGGCAGAAATAGATGCACTATTCCGTCGCATCTCCGAGATTATACGCAACAGGATGGCCTCTGTACAATGTTGATAATATCCAATTTCTTGGCCGAGTCGCGGCAATTGCTTGATCAGCATGTACCTTGCGGTACGTGGGATTGAGTCCTACACATACAGCTATGTTACATATGTCCAAAGATGTCAACCAAGCTCCCGAGGGGTCAGGTATCTAGAACGAAAAGAAATCAAGCTCCATGTCTACTTCTACGAGACTGCTTAATTGTCCCCGGCCGCTCCATTGCCGTCTTCAGGCTACGTATCGTCTGCACAATTTCAGCTTGAACAGCGTGAGCCTGCGGTAGGATGTGACGGGAGCAAAGGGTATGAGACTTACTAGCAATCTTCGGGCTCTCTGCTTCAAAGTCATATCGCTTGTTCCGCGCGGCATTGCTATGCACCACCAGCTTGAACGTCGAGCTGTTCTTACTGGACAGCTGACAGGCAACGACGCTCTTCAGATGATAAGATGATGTCTTGCCACCGTCGAAGACGTGTTTTGCCTTGTTCGATTGCGGAATGATCTGCGGCAAACAGTCGTCAGCGCCTAGACATAAACGTGAAAGCGGAACAGGGGGGGACGAACGTGGATGTAGCCTCCATCAATTGCCAGGAGACGTGCACTCCTGGTGACCAGCATAGGCACCTTACGATAAACTGTATATTTCTGTACGATTTATGAAGATCATAGTAACTCAAATGCACCAAAAGGATCATACCCTGTATGCATTCGTGTAATCGAAAATGGAGCTGAAGACGGGCTCAAGCGCCTCGGAGTTTCGCTTGATGATGGATGCTGTATGGTCAGACGAATTAATTTCCATATCACGCTCAAAGATGATCAACACGTACCATTTGGATCTGTCGTCCTGCCGGCATTATGGCTAATCTCGACTCCGTAGGTTTGCAGCATGTTCTTTTTCATAAGGATCAGATCCCGCTTGCCCTGCAGACTCTTCACGGTACGATCGAGTGGTATGTACACCTTCGCTGTACCCAGGTCAAGCACCAGCGCGTAGTCCTTCGAATTGTTCAGCTTGCGCTTCTGACAAGCTGCTTCGAGCACTTCTGCCATGTACATGCCGCCCGAGCTTAGTAAATGTGATCACACATCAGTATTTTTCGGCATGCTAGAATGACTTAAGTCAACACGCACGCTTGGATAGTCGTAGAGACGTGGCCTGCATCAGCTGTATCTGCGATCCGTATGCGCAGGAACTGTGGGGGACCGTGACTTGAGGACGGCCCCAGCGAACTTGGGAACATCCCAACAGACGAAGCGAGAGAGCTTAGCCCTGCGCTTGTCCCGGCGAATGAATCGACAGGCGGAACAAGGGTAGTGTTCACGCCTGCTACGTTCAAGAATCCCGTCGACTTCTTCTTGACAACAATGCGAGACGGGCGCCGCTGGATCTTGGACTCCAGAGTCTTGTTCTGTTGAACTGAAAAAAGTCCGATTAGATACTACATGTAAGGCAGAAGAGAGCTCTTTACTTTGCGCCGGCGTCGCTGCAAGGACAGCGTAGGCATCGAAGTTGAACTTTGAAATCTTCCCCGTCCTGTCCGGAGCTAGGGGATGCGATGAACGACCATGCCCAATAGTATGGCCGATTCACTCACGAGGGAAATCTTCATCCACTTCCCCATCGTCCTCAGCAATCCGCAGGATCCAGCCGACCGCAGAGCATCTCGTCTCCCATGCCGAATCTTCCTCGCCCTTCAGGCCCTCGTCGATCTTCGGCAGCCATCCCTCCTCCCAATACGTCCACAAAGCGAAACCAAGCACCTCCTCCACCGTCGCATCCTTTCGTATCTTGAGCTCCAGTGGATGACCCGCTGGCTCGGCAGTATGCGGAAAGTATACAAGCACCGTGACACTATCTCCATCTGATCGTGCCGAAATGGCACTGTACAGCTCCGTGAACGGGTTGGACGAGGACGAATTTGCTGTCGCCGCGAGCAACGCCGTGAGTGCGGACTTGGCTGGGACTATTGGACCGACAGGACGCCTCGCGAAGAGGTCGCCATCCACGGCGGAGGGCGGGCTCCTCGGAATCGTTGGCGTGAGAGGTGTTGGGCGTGCCTGCTTGGGCCTCGCAGCGCTTATATGCGCCTTCGGAGCGGGCACTACCATGTCAAAGCCGAGGTCAATGGGCGCTGATTCCTCAGGGCGAGTAGGGAGGTCATCGACGTGCCGCTCGTCGCTATTTCGTGTCTCGCGGACGGGGCTAAGTCGCATACCCCTGGGCGCATCGGCACTGCTGCTGCCCGTGGGTGGCACGGAAGAGCTCGCCATGAAAGATCCGGAGGCAGCAGAGGTGAGCATCCCGGAGGGCGTATCTGAGAGAAGAGATACCCCGGACTCGTCGGAGTGCATACCCAGACCGCTCATCCCGCGACTCGCGGCAAAGTCTCTTTATAGGCGTGAGTTTCAGATGAGTGGCAGTGAGAAGGACGTACGGCTCAAAATCATCTGCGTCTATCTCAATGCCATCGTCCGCGCCCTCGATGAGATCGAACTCCTCATCCTCCTCGTCCGGCATTTCAGACTCGTCTTCGTCGCCTTCCAACCCTGATTCGGATTCCGAAGACGATAGTTCAGCGTTCAGATTCGCAGATACGTTGGCTTTCGCGGCGAGTTCTGGGTGCGCGCGCGCGAGCATGCGCAGCTTCCGCCTTGCCTCCATCTCTTCAGCTCCCTTGAACTTCGGATGAAACTCCGGCGAGATTGGTTTCATTTGCTCTGTTTCTCTGTGCACAGGTGCGACATTGCCGACCGAGGACCTACCATTGATGATAGCATTCTTATCGGGAGACTTCAGTGTGCCAGTGGGTGCGGTGGGTGCGGAAGCAGGTGCCGTTGGTGCAGTAACAGCGGGGAGCTCCTCTACTCCGTGCTTCTCTTCTGCAACAATGGTTGTTGTTGCCTCCCCTTCAGAGCGCAACGAATAGCGGATGGACGGCCTGGACACCGAGCCACGCTTGCCAGAAACACGCATTCCCATCCCACCGACTCGGGACGGGCCCATGATCGTTGTGGTGTACTTTAGTCCGGTCGCTCCAGGAAAGCCTGATTGGCCATTAATACGCGCGCGTGAGCCTCCAGCCTCGTCATCATCTGGTGTCGGGCTAGAGGGCATGGCGAGCTCGGGCCATTTGTCGATGTCGGCGAGGCCGGACGCGAAGACATAGGGATTCGCGTCATAGTTAGGGTCGAGAGATATGAGCCGCGGGCCGTATGGATCTTCGACATTGCGGAGGTAGTTCAAACGCAGGCTATGGATAAGGTAGCTATTCCGAGTGGAGGGGTCGGAATTCGTTTGTAAAGAAGAGACAGGTCCACGTACTCTGGGTCACTGATGAGCGACATCGTGCAGACACTCCTGTGCGATCTTAGACGTTGTCCTTTCCTTTCGCTTCAAGGGCAAAGTGCAAACAGCCCAGAATACTGTACTGCACTAGTCAAACAATCGATCAGATGATTCGACGAGCTCAAGCTGAGAGGTGGACTCCTGCTGTAGTCCAATAGTCCAATTCTCAGAATGAGCAAAATGAGTGTGTCTGAACGTTGTCAAGTCCGGAGAGCGATGGATATGAAGGCAGTAACAGAAGCAAGAGAGCGCAAAGCGCAACGTGCTAGTTACTACCTTCAGCCACCTCGGACCCTCAAAGCGTCCCGTCTAATATTCTAATGAAATATTCACCACCTGGTGACTGCCTACAGAAACATCCACACCTGCCTCGACTGCTTAATCACACCGGATGATGATGTCCGGAGAACCTCCCTCTCCAAAAAATACTTAACTCTGCCCCTCCACATCGCCCTGAACATGCTTCCCGCGATCCCGATCAATCGCGAGACGCTGTCTCACCTTCTCCACCTCCCTCTCCCAGTCGGTGCGCACACATATCCACACGCCGATCGCGGCGCAGTACACAAGTGAAACCGTCAGCCCGATCCACAACCCATACAGTTGCATTCCTCTCCAGAACGTCAGCCAGAGGCCAAACGGGATGCCTGGATCAGTGAAGAATGTCAGCAACGCTTATAGCCTGGGAAGATGGAGAGACATACCGATTACATAGTAGGCGGTCAGATTCAGTAGGGCACCGGTGAACTAGGTAAATCACTCAGACATGACCTGATGAAGTGACGATGCGCTCTACCTGTTTTCCAATCGCTCGCAAGATGCCTCCTGTGACACCTCCGAGACCATCGAAGACTTGAAAGAGCGCGACGAGCGGTAGAATAGATGCTACGAGCACAACAACCTCTGCGCACAGCCATCGTTCACAAAGGACTGATGGTCTCCGTAAGGGGTACATACCTGGGTCGTCGTTGAACAAATGCGCCCAAGACTTCCTAAAGACCATGAACATCGTGCTGCATCGCGTTCTCATCATTTTCAAAGCACGGGGGACAGTTGGAGCTGAATTCGCACCTCCAAATCAAGCTGATTGCCAAAGACATTAGAATGGACACATTTGCGGCGACACCTGCACGCTTAGCCTTCTCTTCTCCGAGCAGGTTACCTATCCTGTGATACATCATCCGAGAGATGAATGCCTCAGAACGCTTGGATGAAGATATGCGCATACCTGACAGAGGTGGCGACGCTAAGAGCGAATGGTGCCTGGTAAGTTGTTGAGGCTGATACCAGCAATACCGACTGAGTGGCAAGGGCGATGGGGCCGAGCCTGACGAGGAGAAATATTACAAGGTAGACAAGCGGATGCCGTGAGTGACAAGACATACATGCTGGCCGCGACTGAAAAGAAGTGGGCAAGTTCAGAGCCGATATGAAATATATTTAGAAAACACTCACGACTAACAAGCTCCCAAGACCACCATTCGGATGCCGTTTGACCTGCAAACGCACACTGTATTCAACGACATACAACAAACTTTACAAAATAAATTACATACCAACACTAGCCAGCCCTAGATGGACCAGTACACCCAAGCTGGTGAAGCATCGACGAGAAAGCGGGTACCACGCCGTCTTGGGGACGAAAAAGATGCCGTACACAATGGACGCGAGAGAAATGAGATTGAAGGAAACGGCAGTCGCAATGGGTGCGCCGATGAACCCGAGACCGAAGGGCTTAGGACCCCAGACTGAAGAGGTGAACGAACATGTAAGCAGTCCTGCCTTGTCTGTACAACAATCAAATAGGGAAGGGCGTACCAAGGAGATAGTTAAGAAGGGCATTTATGGGCGCAACAACAAGGATGATGTGGGTGGGTACTGTGAAATGTCCTTGAGAACTATCTCGTTAGCAAGCTGTTTGAATGTTTCGTTACTCATGAATTACGACTACCTACCCTGCGACTGGAAATACCGCCTTAAAGGCAGTAAGCGGATGATCAGATGTTGAGCTCTCAGCACGCACCTAGAAATGGCGTTGAAGGTATATGCAGGAAGACCAATTATCAGGCATCTCAGATAGAGTGCAGCTAGGTGGGCTACCTCGGGATCTTGCTTGAGGAAGAGGAGAATCGTCTCGGCGCTGAACCAAATGAAAATGATAGGCTAAAATCCCTTGTTCTTAGTTAACGTCTGCGCCTTTACGCAAATGATGCTCACAACAAGAACAGCAGCCATCACAACCGCTAGGGTGGCATAAGCATCAAAGGTTGCGTGATGATTAGTACGACGACTCAACTTACCCATCCGCTGTGACCATAGACCAACGAGCTGAGGCTGAGACGACGTCCACGCACTGGGCAGCATGGTGTCAAGCGTACTCGTGAAACCTTGCACGATGCTCAGACCTGTCACACTCGCCGTCATCGAGCCTAATGTCGATGCGGCGAGCGCGGTCGTGGATAGATGTCCAAGGGACACAACGGATGCTATCACCAGAGAATACTCCAGAACATGCGTCCTGTATAACAGAGCCGATGAGCTGTTGCCACAAGATATGATACGCTGATAGCGTACCCGAATACTGGCAATGTATACTTCATGAGTATGCCTAACTCCTCACGATACATGCCAAGCGGATGTTCCCTCGACTCGAGCTCATCATCCTCTCTATCTACCTCCTCTTCTATTCTGGGTACGAGCGGCGCCAGCAGCGGTGTATTCTCCATTGCCTCGAGGTCCGCAGGGCCTGAGCGATAGCCAGACTTATCTGGCAACGGGCCTGTCGTCGGCTGGAAGGGCGCAATATACGAGGTCGGGAAACTGCTGCGTCGAGAGGTCCGTGAGCCCGGGCGAGGGATGGCGAGCGTACGTCGTGTGCGGGACGTCGAGCCCTCTTCTTCTGACTCGCTGAAGAGCTCCTCGGGCTCGACCTCGCTCGGAAGTTCAGGCTCTTGAATGCCCTGAGCGGCGGAATAGCGCGAGAGGAGGGCGTAGTCGGAGGGCAGGGAGGACGGCGTCGTCGCGTGCAGGTAGGTGTACGACATGGCGGGCGACGGGAGGCGGGAGAGAGTAAAGTGCACGGTTGAAGAGCCAAGTGTAAGGTTCTATATAATGACGCACTGAACGCTTCTGATCGTCTGATGAATGCTTCCACGGATCAATGACTGGAAGGCTTCACTAAAGCGGAGTTTCAATGGCCGTTACGTCGACTTCACGAGTGATTTGAAGATCTACTTATCGGAGTTTCAAAGAGTTGTAATCTCTGGATTACCTTTGACTTTGCCTCGACTCGCCCACCCGAGAAGCTATGGCGGACTCCGAGCTGACTCCCCCTCCAGTCAAGCCGCCGCTATCGAACTCCTCCGCGCCGAGGCACCAGGAACCGTCGCCCATCGACCTCGACAAACTGCGTAAATGGCAGGAGGAGCGCATCTCCCGCAAGCTGCGCGGCGAGTACGAAAGCGCCGTCCTCCAACTCGCGGAAGTCGTGAGTATTTTCTGTGCGAGCCACGGGAACTTTGCGCGCTCTGACACAGCATATAGGTGAACAGTAACCTGTCCACGCCCCTTCGGATTGCCTCAGTTCGTGTCGACGGCGCAGTCAACACACGCAAGTCGTTCCTCGGCTCTCTCATCAAGCCAAGTCTCCCCACGAGCAACTCGCCATGGGTAGACACACATTCGACACTGGCGGATGTCTTGCACACGACGCGGCGCATCGGTAGCCTATTGCAGGAGACGGACATTTTCCAGACCGTCGAGGCTAAACTTGAGCGCAGCCGGGACATCCTTGCCCAGCCGGGAGACGTGGACATCGTCTTCAAAACGCGTGAAAAGGGCAGGTTCTACCTGAACACCAGCACACAAGTCGGGAATAACGAGGGCGGCGCGGTATGTCTTCGCATGCATGGCTAAACTGCCTCCTGACTGTACGGTCTACTTCAGAGCGCGACCTGCCGCATGCGAAACGCATTCGGCGGTGCAGAAACGTTCGAGGCCAACCTCGCATTCGCGACCAAGACACGCGTCTCGTTTCATGCAGACCTTTCCGTCCCACTCACGCGTACGCTCAAGACTCGCGGCGAGGTATCGCTCTTTGGCCTCGAGAAGGACAACTCGAGCTACGCGAGCAGCTCCGAAGGTGTGCGCGGATTCCGAGCCATCGTCAGGGTGAGCTAGGTCAGCTTTTCTTCCCCCGTCGCGCGGCTGGCGAATGAATTCCTTCGGACTGTGTGTTTGCAGAATGGCACGCTCGTCGGTGGGATGCATGAATTCGCGTATGAGGCCGTTCTCAGGCACGTCGGGAACCTCCTTCCCTCTGCGTCTATCAGGTGCGTGTTCTACGTGGAAGGTCTGTCGCGCGTTCGTACCCTCATACTGGTGTCTACAGCATGCGCGAAGCGGCGGGGCAGAGCATCAAGTCTGCTGTGTTGCATTCATGGGTTCGCGACACGCGCGACGATAAGCTTCTCGGCACGCGCGGTTCGTATCTCAAGTTCATCCAGGAACTTGCCGGTTTAGGCGGCGACGCTTCTTTCTACAAGTCAGAAGCGCACGCGCAGCTGTCGAGATCGCTGTTCCCAGGCACTGTCAGTATCGCACATCCGTTATCACCGGATACGCTGTTGGCTGACACATGCAATGTAACAGACAATCTCGTTCGCCGCACGCTCCGGACTGCTTTGGGACATCGCACGCCCGGTGCCGTTTTCGGACAGGTTTCAGCTGGGTGGGCCAACGAGCCTGAGGATGTTCAGGGCGAATGGAATGGGACCGAGGGATGGACGTAAGCTGCAATGATTCTTGTGTGAGGAGGCGATCGCTGACGCAAATATGCATACATGTAACCCAGCCGATTCGCTTGGAGGAGATGTATACTGGGCGGCAGGTATCAGCCTGATTTCTGACATTCCCAGGAAGTCCCATTGGCCAGTCAAGCTGCACTCGTTCGTCAACGCCGGGCGGCTAACCGTGATGGATAAAAGTACGTTCCTTCCGATCATCTCATCTCGTTTTACTCATTCCGTATACTCCTGATGCTGCTCTCCTACAGCAAAAACGGTCGCAGAGAACGTCTGGAGCCAGATTTCCAAGCCGTCAGTTTCTGCGGGAGTGGGCCTGGTGTACAAACTGGAGCCGGTGCGGGTGGAAGTCAACTTCGGGATGCCCCTGGTAGCAAGTCGAAGTGATGGGCTGAGAAAGGGGTTCCAAGTAGGCATAGGCCTGGATTTCTTATGAGCCATTGCCGAGTTATCTGTTGCGTGCGTATCTCAATGACGATGCGCGGCGTCCTTGTCTCTTTTGTTTCCGCTTGCTGCAAACCTGGGTGATTGACAAGATCAAGTGAGTCAGCCTTGTTGATTGCTGCTGTTTGCATGATCACATCTATACCTGAGCAAAATTATCTCAATTATCTCTTGTTGAAGGTGGCTCTCGCGTGCGTGCTTGAATCTCGGATGCATAAATATACGATCGACCGGACTTACAATCTTCACAGCGCTTCGCGGCATTAGGCACTATAAACAAGCACAAGATACGAGAGTTCATATCAAGCTCTGTGATTGTCGGACCTTCTTACTTATCCGCGCCTTCGTCGGACAGACGACTTATCTCATCTATCGCTCTCGCGTATGAGCGATAAGGACAGCTACTCGAGTTCTTGTAGCGCTGCCATTCGTCGCAGACATTGGTGAACACGCTGGGGTCGAACTCCCTCCGTCTGCAGAGATCGGACTAGACAATCCTATTGACATTTTTGGCCACCATTCACAGCTCTTCAAACGCGGAACTACACGTGACCGCATTTTCGGGTACTTGCAGGCGTCAACGCGAGTGTTAGCCCATCTGTAAGTCCCTGCTTTGTGCAGTTGCCGAGAAAGCACACTCTCAGCCAAGGTCCTTGTGTGTTGACCTGGCTCATACAATCGTGGCACGGCGATCAGATGTGTCGGCGGAGCGGCGCTGGCGCATGTATCCCAGGAACAGTACGCTTATCGCTGCTTCCTCACTGCTTCCTTCTGATAGCAGTGTTCAGCGCTCTGCATTTAAGCTCGATGTGAATGGAACATATGCTAGTAGGACGCCCCGAGCTCCCTGCCGGTCCTGCTCTGTCTGCCTCCTCCTCTGACCCTCGCGACAATGACGGGCCTTTCCGATGTGCTGCCCGCGCTCGCGCGCGAACCTTCGTCCAACTTCTCTATTCAGAAACGAAAGAAGTACGTTGTTGATGAGTACGCTGATCCGGAGAAGGTCGAAGTCACGGAGGTCGTCGACGAAGATGACGGCGACATCGTTAACGCTAAGGTCATCGAGAAGGCAGAAGATGTCGCGATTGAGGTGAGGCTACTTCTCTTGTGCCAACAAGGTTCCTGTTGGTGATGATGGTCGCGTGCAGATCTTATCGACTGAAGATCACCCGGAACTACCTACGTGGACCTTCCGCACTGTGTTCCTCGGCATCGGACTAAGTATCTTTGGTGCTGTTCTCGCAACGATCTACACATTCAAGCCTCAGGTATGTGCAGTGCATCTGCATCGACGTCGCGTGCTGATCTACCTTTGAAGAATGCTTCGGTTTCTCAGCTCTTCTGCCTCATCATCGCATATGTTCTTGGGACACTCATGCATGGTACGTTGTTGCATTTGTTTCCCAGGCCCTAGTATCAATTCATTGCGTGTCCCAGCTATCATCCCGTCCCATGGCTACTGGAGGTTCTTGAACCCCGGTCCCTTCAACATCAAGGGTAAAATATCTTCGTCAAACGATGGTTGCATCGTGATCTCATAAATTGCAACTAGAACATGCCGCGATTGTGATCATGGCATCGACTGCGTCCACAGTGGCTATTGCAATGGAGATTATCGCTGCGCTCAGTAAGTCCACCTGATGGTATCTGCGAGGCTTCGCCGCTTATACCCGACGTCTCGTAGATCTATTCTACGATATCCGCCTCAACGCAGCGGTCGCCATCTTCCAGATCTTTGCGAGCCAGATGATTGGGTACGGAATTGCTGGAGTGTGTGAGTATCCGCCTTCGTCAGTGCTGCAACAGAGTTGTTCAAATATGCATGTCTTAGTACGATCTTTGCTCGTATACCCCACATAGTGAGTGGGCATCGTCATGTATGCAACGCACAGCTAACGTAGACCACAAGCGCATTCTATCCGACGTACATTTCTGTCGTGAATCTGCTTCAGAGCCTTCACTATGGGAATGCTTTGAATCAAAAGAGGAGGTGAAGAGCTACCGGATCCCCTTATTGAACTTAGCTGACACCCTGGGATCGTAGAAAATACTTCTGGGTTGTGGTAAGTCGACGATTTCTCACCTTGCAGGGTGACCCTGATCTCAAGTCGCCTGTATAGTTCACATTGATTTTCTTCTGGGAGTGGTATGTGTATCCTTGCAACATGTGTGTGATATGACGCTGAGTGAAGCCTCGTGCTAGGATCCCGCAGTATTCCTTCCCCTTACTCACGGCCATTTCTATCATTTGCATCGCGGACAACGGTCGGCACGACTGGATTCGTAACCTCTTTGGAGCGGGCTCGAGTAACGAGGGCATCGGACTGCTGAGCTTCAGCACCAGCTGGACGCTCATCACACAAGGATATCCGCTTGTGTGGCCTTGGCAGACCCGTGCGTGTCACGTTATGTAAATTGTTCGCAAGAGGCAAGCTGAAGCGCCTTCTTCACAGAGGTCAACTCGTACAGTAAGTCGCACCTTCCTGTTCTTACAAATAGCTGCGTACTCAAGGTTCCAGTCGGCATGGCCATCGGCTACGTTGTCCTCATGGTCTGCTACTACAAGAACGTATTCAACGGGCGAAACACGGACTGGATGTCGACCTCGCTCTTCTTTCCGAACGGAACGAGCTACAATCAGAGCTTGATCCTCAACGCGGACAACAGCCTCAATGTGACGAAGCTCGATGAGGTCGGCCTGCCGCAGTTTACGACGACGTATGCGCTCAGCCAGATGTGCTACAACTTCAGCTTCGGCGCGGCATTCGTGCATGTGATACTATGGCACTGGAAGGATCTGAAGAAAGGTTGGTACTGCCGGTTGTTACTTGAGAACATGTTTTGATGTGCTGCCATGAAAAGCGTGCCGCGAGGTTAAGTTCTGGCGAGGCTCGGAGGAGGTTGACGACCCTCACTACCGAGGTGAGGTCAGCGAACATCAATCGGTCTCCCGTGTGCTCATAGATTTCTCGCAGAGATGAAGAAGTACAAGGAAGTCCCGCAGTGGTGGTACCTTACCCTGTTCGCGATTTCCCTTGGTGTCGGCATTGGATGCAGTGTGCGTCGCTATTTTATTACTTCATACTGTGCTTACCTGGTAATCCTGTTCACACCTAGTACACGACGGGAGAGGCTCTCCTGCCGTGGTGGAGTATCCTTCTGTTCACCGTAATCAGCTTCTTCTTAGCTGTCGCCCTCGGGTTCAGTAGGACATCTCCTATTCTCGTTGCTTACATTGTGCTAATAATTATTGTGCCCCGTCAGTCATGGCGACAACTGGCTTCAGCATTTCCGTTAAGTACGCCATCCAGATCTTGGCCGCGTTCATCCACCCAGGGAAGCCTGTGTACGTGTACTCCCAGTGGTTTCGCTAGTCTGCAATGTTACTGACGGTTTCGCGCGTTTGAATGTAGCGCTGTGATGTATGTCAATTTGTATGGCAACAGCACTGCTTTTCAAACGCTGTACATGTTGCAAGGTGACTTTTATTCCATCTGATACCGATGTCCCGCTAGATGCTCCATAACCCACTCAGACCTGAAATTGGGTCAGTACACAAAAATCCCTCCTCGTGCGACCTTTGCCGCGCAGCTGGTTGGCTCGATTGTCGGCTCTATCTTCAATTACACCAGTGAGTAGAATCTCTTGAAAGGGATGGAGTGTAGCTGACAGTTTTGAAGTGATGATCCAGATCGTTGACAATAACAGAGAGGTGCTCAAGAATCCCGTAGGAACGCGGATCGTAAGTTTTCGCTTGCATCGTTTACCTTTATGGTTGAATTTGATGAATGCTACGACACGGTGCAGTGGTCTGGATGGAACGTTCAGAGCTACAATTCCGCGTCCATCGCTATGGGTGCTCTCGGCAAGTACCTGTACGCCACTGACCCTCGACGTTCCTCGACTTTCTCGCTGAGGGGCCGCATCTTCCTAGATTTACGTACGGCAAGATGTATTACATGCTGGCGTTTGCGATCTTCATTGGTCTTGCGCTGCCAATTCCGTTCTGGGTGCTGTACCGGTATACGAAGCCTGGTTCCTTCCTGAACAGGTTTGCCGCATATATCAACCTGCCCATCATCGCTCTGTATGTCGGCTACCTGCCATACTCAGTGAACGGACAGTGGTGGTATGTATTCCTGAGCACGAGCGCGATGCAATGTTGATAAGAGCGATGAATAGGTCGTGCCTTGTCCTGGGCGCTGTGTCGCAATGGTGGGCACGCACTCGCCGCCCGAAGTGGTTCAAGAAGTATAACTACTTGACATCTGCTGCCTTGGATGGCGGGGCGCAAGTCATTATATTCATTCTGGTCTGTTGTGTTCTTATATGATGGGTGCGGCTGGAGCCTAACAGTCCCGCAGAGCTTTGCTGTCTTCGGCGCCAGCGGCAACGAGGTCGATTTCCCCTACTGGTGAGTATGGCGTGCACCAGACACTGGACGTAGGGCTGACAACGTGTCGTGACCCATAGGTGGGGCAATCCAGAAACCCTGTCAGTAGACAGATGTGCTGCTACGTCATAGAATATCCTTACTGTTTACCATGCCACTGTAGTATGCAAGTCGGCGAGGCCCTTCTATAATTCCGAATGCATGATCTGTACTCTAAAACAAGACGTCGCGAGTGCTATTTGTCAAAAGTAATGCTATACTCCAAGATCTCGCTCAATAAGACTATGCTTTACTCCTTCAAGAGGCAGCTACTGCGATTGTTCGAATTCGAACAGCCTCTCCTTGATGCTAAATAACCTGTCCTTCTTGCTAGACAGCTCCATCCTCATCCTTGCAACGTCCGCATCTTCGCTGACATACGCAGCACATCTGGCAGCGGCTCCTTCGGACCCAAGGCCCAACTTCTCGATGAGATGATCTTGAAGTGCGTCAGCGAACGCGAACAAAAATGTATGGTCTATTGCGAGAGGAATATTGTCGATTATCCTCTGTAGTTTCGTGTTAGGTCATTTGAAGGCAACATAATACAATAGAACTTGCCTTGTATGCGACTTGGAAGTAGCCCCTGACCTCCGCCATCAACTGCAATTCTTCCTCATATATGTCTGGAGGGTTGAGTTTTCCAAGATCTTCTAGAGTGCAGTGATAGCCTAGTTTAGCTAGCGATGCTAATGTGGCAGCTTCGGCTTCGGCGCGTTCTGTATCGTCGATGATAGGTCGTATTGCCACAGGCTTTGCGGCTTGAGACCCTCCTACACTTGCGCAAGGAGTCGCTGGGGCTGCAAGATATTAGCAAGCACAAAGATACGCTCCGCTATGAATCCACCTGCTGCCGGAGCGGCCGCCTTGTCGAGAACATTGGTACTCTGTTGATCTTTCTTTGATGGTGGGTTCTTTGGCAGCTGTTCCACGAACCTCGAAGTGGATTCTCGACTAGGCGATAACGTTAATGAATTTGAAGCAGCTTTCGCTTTGGTCTTTTCAGCTCTTTTCGGCGGTGTCGGTAGTTCCGAGGTCGTCGAAGAGCCTTACACAGAAGACCCGAAGTTCAACTCATGCGGTGGATGGGAGCAAGGACATCGTGAACGTACTACTGTCATCGTTGCTTTCCTCTTCATCTTCTTTGTCATCAAAAATGGTATCGGAAACCTCCCTGTACATCATCTTCTGCCGTTTCGCAGGAGATGGTAAGGAGGAATCCGACGGTACCTGCATCTTCCCGGCGCGCATATCCTTATAGAGAGCGAGATGCTTATCCTTCGACGCCGCCAGATAGTGAGTATTCTGGCTGAAGGGAGTGGATTCGAGTTTGAGCAGCTTGCAGATGAAGCGACATGTCTCATCCCGATGTGCCTTCACCTGTTCCGCGACCACCAATCTATGGATATCAATGTAAATGCAATGTTAGCTCGCAGAGAATTGCTGCAAAAACCTACTTCACGCAATGTTCCAAATTCTTGAATCGGCCGAAGCGGGTCTTTACGAGCTTCTCTACACTCTCTACGAACGCGTTGTACACTTGTACGAACATGTTCAAGGCGTGATCTTCCCAATGAGTCATGAAAGCATCGATCAAGGTTATCTTTGCTCGATATGGGACGTTGTTGGGCAGCTCGCGTGTGACACAGCTACGGCGATGGATGTATTCAGCGTTCCAAGGTAACTGTGCAAACAATCTACCTCTCCATATGTTCATGTATGTCGCCAAGAGTAATTGGCCCGCCCGAAGTAAAAATTGTGCGCAGATCTATACCTTGATCTCGAACAGGTATCCGCTCTCCTTGTACGTGGATGACGAAGTGAGGCGCGGTTCGACGAATAGTAGTCTTGAAGTCTTTATGTATCTTTCTTATGTTCTGAACGAGATCGGCAGTATTTGGTCCTCCTTGCACCCATGAATTGACGTCATTGCAGAACGATGTTACTAAGCTAAGGACGGCAGCGGGTGGGTCAGTAGTGAGTGGTGGAGGGAGTTCACTGAGCTGCTTCTCGCAGTCCTGGAGCTGGCGTTCTACCTCATCTCGAAGTACGGGCACGCTTGCAATACTCAATACATTATGACAAATGACACAATTTATGGACTTACATGTCGTGAATGAGCCCTGTCAAGAGTCTGCTGAGATTAGCAACAAGGTTGCCAGTACCAAAGCGCTGGCGATGCGCTGATTCAGACCATGGTCGGCTCGTGTTGAAAAACTTCTGCTCCGCCTCACGAGCTTCTGTCGATGTGATTCTTTTTGCTCTGTCCGCGTCATCCGGTTGTTTTGTGCAGTAGTAGCCATGCTTGAGAGGATGCTTCTGGCCTTCAATGATCTCAAGCCAGGACCTTCGCGCGTTGGTCGCTCCAGAAGGGATTGTGTCGGGTTTAGTCAGAACTCCTTGTTGATATATACATATAAGAAAAGGAAAAAACAGCTGAGGATGCATTTGAAAGAACGGTGCTGACCTATCGTACGTATGCCGTCTGGGTCCACATCCTTTGCAAGGCGCACCGCCTTTTGATTCTCTATGTCATCTAAACACTCATATATAATGAATTGAGAGAAGAGGAAGGACTAGACGAGCTCACCGCTCATAGGGATGGTAAGCAAGATTAGGCGCTGGCCTCCTATATGATGTCGAACCAGCTCCTCTACCAACTGTACCGTTTCTGGATCAGCGTTTTGAATGATTCCTAATATACATGAGATATTCGCATCGTATGGAAGAAGGTTACGGTATAGGCATACATACCGGTAAGTCAATGAAAGATAGCTCTGTCAGATCAGGACCATAGACATCGAGGCATACAGCGTTTCTGGAGAACAACAGCTGCCGCTCTGTTCCAAATTGCCCGCAGCCTATCATTTCTGCACTAACTTCGACAAAAGATGATATGGGCAAACTGGGATTCAGAGCCGCGGCTTGGGCCCTCCGGAGAGCGAGCTCCACAGCGGTCTTGTCGCGAATGGGTCCTCCGAAGGTGATTTCCTCCACCTTACGCTTCCGTTGACCATGATTGTCGAACTCTAGGCGGATGGAAACCTGACAGGACCACTCGGGAGCGTTGGAGAGACGGCATTCTATTGGGCAGCGAGTACAAGTCCCGGCATCCCGAGGCACGGTGATCTGCGATGATCACATCAAAGTTTATCACTATTGAGAACCGTTGCATTGAAAATCTCTGACGCACTCCTGAAATAGCTTCTACTAGGCTCGACTTGCCCGCGCTCTGGTTGCCGATTACTGCAATGTGCGGTAGGTCAAAGTCTGCTTGTGCCCTTGCAGACATTGGTGAAATTCCACTTTGAAGTGTTTCCATCGACAACATACCCGATTGCGCGTAAGTGCTTGATGAGAGAAAGAAGCTCTCTTCGACGCTTCGCATGGCCGCTCTCTGCACTTGAAAGATGTATTGCCGCGGGGCTAGCGGTATCATGAGACATTCTGGAAGGCGATCAAGAGGTAGTTCCGAATGACCTTAGTCATTCGGGTTATAACCTGCACACAGGACCCGGGCAACTCCCATATAGGAGTGTCGCAAAATAGCTTATTTGAGGGGCCCCAAATCGCGATTTCCTTGTCGCGGATTGCATATTTCAGACCTCGGAGGCCCCAAAAAGCTTCAAAAAGACCCTTATCCTTATCGCAACTTAGCATATTTCGGGACCTGATGGGTGTCGGAGAGCCTCCCGATTTAGGCATGTCCAGGTGGCTAACCACTGGTATTGATCGACAAGGCCCATTGATGCGACAAGGCCACCATGTAGCCATATATTGATATAAAATAAATAATTTCCTGACCTGATAACCATCATGGTACATGCGCGATTTGTGACATCCAAGCCTAATTTCCTGCTACGACTTGTGTAGCTCTCCTTCCCCTGAGTCTCACTTGAATCTCATGAAGCTGTAAGATACAGAATCTGCAGCTTGCTCATCAAGGCCTTCTTGTTCTGATCCTAAATGAACAACGAAGAATATTCTATAATGACATTGAATGCATCTGTGGCTTATTCTTCAAGATGTCACCCCTTGTGATGATGGCATCGACAAACATCAGCTTGATACACACTCAATGTAGCCTCTTTATTATCACAACATCCTTATGTGAGAGTAGCGGGTGAGCTCGCAAACGAATCTGTATGTTTTTGACTCTGATGTAGCGTGACATATGGATGTGATGTATCGTTACAAAACGTGACATAGTCACGGGTCTTGTCACACTTTGCATACTGGAGGCCCGAAAGTTTGCATATTTCAGGCTCATTTTGGGAGACTTTTGTGACACTCCTATATAGAAATTGCCCAGGTCCTCTGCACATGCACAGTGGGCGATTACATAAGGAAAAACAGTTTCGTCACACGTTACATTTCTCACGCCTGTGGCTGGACATCTCCCCCTAATTTTTGTGCTGCATGTGACACTGTGGCGAAGCTCGCCGTCGCCCCCATCGTTGGAAAATTCAGGTGCTGCTCTGTTCCGTACGCTCGTTGTCTGTTGCTAGGCCGATCATCCCGCCTGTGACTTTGTTGTCTTTGTAGAGAGCCGTCGTATCGCCCACATGTCTGTATCTGTGAAATGCACCTCTCGCCCATCAAAGGGAGTTGCCGCTCGCTGCTGCTATCGTGCATCAATGACAACGACCTCGTCATACTCGAATGCACCATCATGTGCTTCAAATGCAATGCAACCAGCGTTGCTGTATATGACGGAGCATGGAAGTACTGGCACACACAGTTTGAACTACTTACCGTCATCAAACTTATTGAGGAACCCGAAATGATGGTCGAAAAGGACCTTGGCATCCAGGACAACGTCCACATCTAATAACTTCTTTCCTGTCCTACCTGTATTTGTATTGTCATGTATAACATACTAAACTCCTCTTGCTAACGAACTCTGTAACTTTGTACCCTCCATGATGAATTGTAACTCATCCATCGTTCTTTCACTATCGCACCGGACACACTTTCCACTGGTCATTCAGAACTGGGCGTGCGGAACGCAGTGCCGACACCCTCAAGTTCTGGACCAGAGTCTTTCAGCTAGGGCATGGGGAAATAGGAATTGTGACCTGCTTAACCGGCTATTTAGCAATGCACCCCTGCAAGGGCCTATTTTACCTATGTAATTTACAGTTAATTAACAAAGGGGGGTCCGGAGGGTGCAGCCCCCAAAACTTCAGGTCAATTAACGCTAATTAGCCAGTAGAGTTACCTAAAATGACGGTAAATTACAACTTCCTCATGCTACATCACTACCAATGATCCCAGTCAGGCTGCTCATCTCTGTGAGCTTTTTCTGCACTGGTTGAATACAATTCAATTAGATCTTCTGAGAGAATTTTCTTGAGCTGATGGACATCCTGATCAACCCCTCTCCCCTCCCCTGGGCGCTTCCTATTTAACCGTAAATTACCTTCAATTTTTGACCCTTTTGAAATTAATCGTAGATTACCTGTAATTTACATAGATAAAATAGCCCTGGCTAATTAGCATTCTCTATTTCCCCATGCCCTACTTTCAGCGTGAAAAGCAATTCAAATGTTTGTTGAATAAGCACACTTCAAGACAGATGTCCGAGCGTCCTGGTTCAGAGGCTGGCAGTACTGACAGAGACAGGCAGCATTGAAATCACTCATTGCACATGACAGCAATGATCCCAATTAGTGGCCACAAATTACGTGGGTGAAGAGGCGACAAGCACTGGTTCCAAATGACAACAATGCAAGGTTTATTCACAAGGAACACTACATAATTTGTTACACTACATCTACACTAAGTCATGGAAGGCTTTCTCCATGTCATGTCGAGAGCCCATCCAGACATCGGGCCCTCGTTCTGTCACCATACATGGCCTACCGCAGGTGTCACAGAATAAACCACATGTGACACATAAAAACCTGCAGTTGCACTGCATATATAGTCAGAACCAAGTGATAAGCCAAGCTTATCATTGTCAGCCTTTTGGCGAAGTGGTTACTCGTCCATTAGGTATTGATTTATAGGAAGTATGGTCCGTTTCCGTGATAAAATGATAAGCTTCACGGGGTCACCGATTCGAATCTGAGAACTGGCAATGCTTTGTGCAAGTTAGTCACAAAGCATCTCTCAGAGGTTGAGTGGCGCAACCACAAATTTGAACCCCTGACTTTCAATCCAATAATGCTGGATAAGCCAGTCTAAGCTAGGATTGGGGTGGTACTATATACTCTCAGGACGAGGATTCCTGAACAGGGGGTAATGTCACAGAATAAATCACATGTGACATGTAAAAACCTGCAGTTGCACTGCATATATAGTCGGAACCAAGTGATAAGCCAAGCTTACCATTGCTAGCCTTTTGGCGAAGTGGTCACTCGTCCATTAGGTATTGGTTCATAGGAAGTATGGTCTGTTTCCGTGATAGCAGGGTAAATCTCTGATTCGCTAGGAGACAAAAAGATTGCCAACTGTGTGGGTGCGTGCATTGTCAAAAATGAGGTTGAGGCATCTGTTGATATGCTCTGATGCCACCTCTCTATGGTCCGTGGTCAGACAGTACCAATTGCTTCGTTGCGGAGCGAGGTGAGTATCAACCGCTCTGCTCTGTCTCCGATGGCATGACGGTACAGAGAGATGACTCTTTTCTTGAAGGGTGCGAGGCCTGCAGGTTTCTTGCTACTGGACTCTGTGACGTGTTTGATTATGGGTGGTATGTGTGTGGGTAGTAGACGAGTGTGTCGTCCGAAGGGTTTGGTGGATAGGTGTGATGCAGATGATTTCATTCAGCTGGCTGGCCTGCTGACTGGGGCTAGGACAGGATGCTGGCTTCACATGTGTGTGTTACCGTTTTGAGGGATAAATGTCCCACGTTATATCAGCTTCATGCTTCGAATTGTTCGCAAATGTATCTGCGTGGCAATCAATTGTTCGCAAATACTGTCTGGGCGCTAAAGGTTTGTTCGCAGATCTGCTAGGTGCGATCGTTCAAACCGGACATCTGTCTCGGCGCTAGCAGTCTCTTGTTTGGGGTTATTGGTGTTTTGTTCGCAAATTGACCTCAGCGCTTGCTTGCTGTTCGCAAATACGAGTTGGAAACCTAATCCGGACTGTGAGAAACAAATCTCTAAAATGGAACCTGTTCGTCTGCTACTGCTGGACTCGGCTGGACTTCGTTTCATTCGATCGCTTTGTTTTGTATAGTGCGTGACAGCTAAAGTCTTCCTGGCTCTGATGAAACAAGTCAACTGATGGACTGTGTGTAAAAGACTGTACCGAGTCTAGGCGATCGCCTTTATCCCTGGGCTTGTGGTGTGAGTTGTTTGCAGCACAGACTTCGTTAACAAAGTTATTGAGTTTGATAGAACGCAATTAATAGTTAAGCAATTAGACAGATATCAAGGATGAGATGTGTAGAGTGAAGTAGGACTGTCACGGCAGACATGATGTGATTTATCAATGTGAAAAATAGTGTGGGAATGTCAGCTGATGTCTTACATTTGCGGCAAAGGTTTGCCAATGTAGCATTTAAATCGCAAATAGTTCACATTCACAGCCAAAGTGAAACATTTTCAGCATGAAATGCCATAGTTGCAAATATTTGTCACATGTGTAAGAAATCAGTCGACATTCGCACACAATTTTCCACCTTGATAAATTGTGTCATGTCTGCCATGTGTGGAGGTATGGAGAGGTCCGCTGCTGTGACCTCCTTCTGAGTCAAAAATTGTCCTTTATTGCCAACTGTGACCAAGTTTATATACTATGATGGACAGCTCGTTGCCGAACTGTTCGTTACTATGTGATGTGTCCGCGCTCTGCTTCCAGAGACTAGAAGCATATCTGAAATGCATTTGAAATCCAAAACTTGTAAGAGGAAAGTAGCCGGTCAACGCCGTAAATACCCTGCTATCGCTACGCTCATTCGAGCGGTTCGTCCTTGATCATCGGTACCGCCTCCACTCCTTGGTTCTTCTGGAAGGTGCACCGGGCTGCAGCTATCTTCCTGCCCTGCCTCGCTCAATCGAGACCACTTTTGCCCGCTCTGACCACCTTGTGTAGTATGCACGCCTCGGAGGCAGTTGATATGACAAAGGGTCAGTCGGCCACCCAGGCTTGCCTGCTGCTTGCCTCGTGCTTCATGCTCAGCTCGCTCCCACGCTCATCACCGTCATCAGAGAACAACCATT